CAGGGTAACTCCTTCCCAGGGCATACATTTTGCCAGGATAAGGATCTTCCTTTCCCCAACCCCCAGGACTGCATAGCCTAGTTCTAGTGGTCTCCAAGAGGAAAACAGTTGAGGATTACTTCCTTATGTAGCTATAGAGTGCCTGTTCCTTTTGGCCAGGGAGCAGCAAGGAGTTGCCTGGGGCCCTGCGGGGCGTGTGTTTTTATTGCTAACATCAGAGCCTTGGCCAACACCTCCCGAGCACTAGTCGCACCACAGTTAGTTCTGTTCAGTTCTTTTTTTTTTAATGTTTTATTTATTTCTAGGAGAGAGAGAGAGAGACAGTGTGAGCAGGGGAAGGTCAGAGAGAGAGGGAGTCACAGACTGAAACAGGCTCCAGGCTCTGAGCTGGCAGTCAGCACAGAGCCCGACGTGGGGCTTGAACCCACGAACCGCGAGATCATGACCTAAGCAAAAGTCGGACGCTTAACCGACTAAGCCACCCAGGCGCCCCAGTTCTGTTCAGTTCTATTCAGCAGAAATAAACTGTAAACTTGTTGACATTTTTGTCCTCTTTACAATGCATTGTTTATTTTTCCATGACTGAGAATTTTGATGCAATTATCACTGAGCTTTCTGACAAAAGGGAAATAGCTGAGGAATTTTGATGAGTTCCCCACTTCATTAATCAGAACAAGCGTCTCTTGTGACAGGGTCAGAATTACAACGAAGATTAGGTAGCAAATTGCTGTTCCACCTGATGCCAATCATTCCCCACGACAGCAGTGTGATTACACGTCAGGAAAGAGCTTTTCTTGCCAACAAAACGAGGGCGATTCCAGTGCAGGTAATAAATTTAGCAGGGTGAGCTGTCATTTCTCCTCTTGAGTAGAGTCCTTAACTATCAGAGGATGTCTTGTGGAAGATTTTAAGAGGAAGAAAAGCATTTCCCTTAAAATCTTTGTAAATTTCACTCTATGTAGTATTTTATTTTATAAATTACTATAGATATGTATTTAGGAACAGTTCTTCCCACAGTGATTTTCAGTATCTTACTTACCTGTACGAAGCCTTAACTCTCACCAAAAATATGTTAAAGAAATGTGGAATTTAATACAAAGAATACATGACCGTAGCTGAAAATCTGTCAGAAATAAAACCTGGTGCAGAAATAAAGGAACTAGGTAAGAAATAGAGGAGGTCAGATTAGTCGTCTGACTAGTTAAAAGGTTAAATTCTGAAACAATTTATTAAATAGAATGTACTAAACAGAATATATTCCTCTTCCAACACAGTTGTGATTTTAAGTAATAGTTCTTGTTTCAAAGAGCAAAAGGATAGAGCACTATTGTAGTGTCACTGAAGAGGCGGAGCAGGCCTGGGAGCAGCAGGGACTCAGTTGGGGGCAGAGGTAATAGAGAGAATAAATAGATCATGACTATGGAAGTGTGCCACTTCTTATCCCTTCTAAATAAAAGCAGAATGCTAGCATCTTCCCGAGAAGACAGGACTGAGAATATTTTCCTTCCCCAAATACTTTCCTCCAAGCACATTTATGGGAATCCTATTTGCCCAAATAATGTTTGCCATGAATTAAGAATAACTAAGTGGCTATTCTTGATTCACACTTTATTTATTTATTTTTACTTTAATGAGATTGCCCTTTTGAATAGTCAGGAAAGACCAATCACAAGTCATTTTCGAGAAAGCAGTTGCTGTGAGGGCACCCAGGTGGCTCAGTTGGTTGAGTCGCTGATTCTTGATTTCTGCTTAGGTCATGATGCCTGGTTATGGGATCAAGCCCTGCTTTGGGTTCTGCTCTGAGAGTAGTGACTGCTTAAGATTATCTCTCTCCCTCTACCCCTCTCCCCTTCTCATGCTCTCTCTATAAAATAAAATATACATTAAAAAAAAAAAAGCAGTTGCTGTGAGTCTGTCACTTTGCTGTTACATTTTGTAGTGAAATGGAATCCTAGATCATTAAAACTGATCATTTTGCTCTTAAAGTCTAACCTTAACTATTTTAATTTTTTATGTCTTTATTTTGAGAGACAGAGACAGAGAGCAAGTGGGGGAGGGGTAGAGAGAGAGGGAGACACAGAATCTGAAGCAGGCTCTGAGCTGTCAGCACAGATTCCGACACAGGGCTCGAACCCACAGACCGTGAGATTATAACCTGAGCCGAAGTTGGACGCTTAACCGACCGAGCCACCCAGGTGCCCCTAACCTTAACTATTTTAAAGAAATATATTGGCAATAGCATTTATTAACACAAATTTTTCCCTTTTAAATTTACATGTGTTCCAGCAGTGCTCTTCTACCATAGTAAGGGATATATTGAGTTCTTTCTCTTTTAGTATAAAAGAAGCAAAAAATTTGCCCTTCATTTTAGAAGACTTTTTGCCTAATATAGATTGGGTCATCAGGATGCCAGAATGTTTCCATGTTAGCCTTAGGTATGCCACTGCCCTTTCACTCTGTGAATTTAGTCATTAACCCTTCTCTACTTGAAGTTTAGCTTCATAAAGTAAATCATAATATCTGCAGTCTCTCCATTTGGTAATGATGGCCTACAAATTAATAAAACAGTGCTTGTAATATTGTGCTTACAGTAATGCTTTGAACTTTGTAGACAAGGACTGTAGAAACCCAAGAAGGACACTATTAATAGTGTTATCATTGTCCAGGTGGATTATGTTTGTACTATTTCATCATTAGAAACATTCCAGGAGTTAAAATTAGAGACAGCTACACACAGAATATTTCATCAGGTCATTCAAGAAGAATATCTTAAATGAATCTGGTAAACACACGGTATTTTCTTTTGACTATTACATACAAGTTAACAATATATTTCTTTTCATGGTCTGTTTTGTGGGTTAGATAGGAAAATAATAATGCAAAAAGTATATCCCCTCAACTTGGCAACTGTGTGTCTTTTCTTTATTATGACTGCAGACATATCCTGTATTCAGCAAATGTCCCTTCCTCTCTCCTTCTCTTTTTCCCTTCTTGCCTCCTTCCTCCCTCCTTCACTTCCTTCCTTCCATGGCATCTAAGGTGAAGGTCTACACAGTTGACAATATGTCTACTCATTTGACATAATGGAAAGGGAACAAGGGCTTTTTTAAAGTTTGCCATGGTTTCTCCTGATAAATAATAACAAAGATTTTGTAGTTTGTCTAAATGGAAATAAAACTGAATTCTTGTGTTAAAAACCACTCCTGACCAAATGGGCTATTTCTAAGAATTCCAACATATGCTCCCTTATGTTACCAGTCTTTTAATTTATATATCCTCTCTCCCTATAACCTCTCAAAAGGAGAGATTATTTCTTTTTTTTTTTTATGTTTTATTTATTTCTAGGCGAGAGAGAGAGAGAGAAAGACAGCGTGAGCAGGGGAGGGTCAGAGAGAGAGGGAGTCACGGACTGAAACAGGCTCCAGGCTCTGAGCTGGCAGTCAGCACAGAGCCCGACGCGGGGCTCGAACCCACGAACCGCAAGATCATGACCTAAGCGAAAGTCGGACGCTCAACCGACTAAGCCACCCAGGCGCCCCAAGGAGAGATTATTTCTTAACATTGTTCCCAGTTCCCAAATTTAAACCCATGGTGGCTGCTTACTCAATGTTGTAATAGTGAAAGATAAGTATTATTACACAGATAGAAGCAGTAAGTACAGATGATCCTGGTAGAGCCAACAAGTGCTTGAAGCTGGTCATTAGGCATCCCCTATACTTCCCACAAAGTCACTTTCTATGAGGTTACTTTGTCTTTTATTGCCACCGACACAGATTTGCCATTTCCATTCATGGGACCCACTCCCTTTCTTCTAGAGGCTCACAGTCTTGCAGAAACCGGTGAGCAGGGGATTATAATACAGTGTGATGAGCGTTTTGACAGAAGAAGCAGGGTTGCTCTGAGAACACAGTGGAAGGGCACTTCGATTTGCAGAAAGCAGTTGGTGATAGGAGAACTTCCAGGGAGAAGTAAGTTCTGAAGGAGTCGAGTAAAGAGAGGGCAGAAAAGGAGGACCAAGAAATTAGTATGAACATAGGAAGGTGTTAAGCAGTGTGGCTGATGTAAGGCTGAGAGTTATCTGATGTAGTGGGCACAATAAGTTTACTGTGAAGGTAGAAGATAAAGGCAAGGACTGGATCTCAGAGATTTTCTGAGACCATGAGTCAAGTACTTCTCTGGGGATATCTTTAGGGTGAGTGGAACTTGGCCTTACTTGTTTTCAGATGCATGGAGTGGAAGATCACAAGCATCCTGAGCATCTAGTGTCTCTAGGCCTGCTCTCCCAAGCTCTGCCATGGTCATGGTAGCCCCGCTGAAGCTGTTGTAACTGTCTCGTTTCCAGGGACAAGAAACCCCCATTCCATCCTCATGGGATCTTCTGTAGTCCTTTGTGTAGGACATTAGCAGGTGTTAATAACAGAAATTAACTAATCGGTTGGTACTTTATTAGGTTTATTTTATCTATTTATTTGGGAGGGGGGCAGAGAGAGAAAGAGGGAGAGAGGGAGAGAATCCCAAACAGGCTCCACACTGCCAGCACAGAGCCTGACATGGGGCTTGAACCCATGAACTGTGAGATCATTACCTGAGCTGAAATCAAGAGTCAAATGCTTAACCAACTGCCCGGGCACTCCAATCAGTTGGTATTTTAAACTCCAAGAGAAGTTGGCCATCCTCCTGGAAGCAGGTGTTTCAAGCTTTTCAAGTCCCTTAACTCACATCTCAGATGTGACTGCTGCTCCAGCTCCCCAAAGGACTGGTGCCTGAGAATGAGAACTAAGTATTGTAGTTTAAGCCACAAGGCATAGCTGCATGGCTTGAATAGGTCTTGTCATTATTAGCATAAAACAGTTATACTTGGTTCTCCTTCCATCAAGACAACAGTTGCTAGATTTGTTAGAAAAAGTGTGAGGGGGAAATCCGAGGTGACAGCTATCGGTATTAGAAATTACAAACACTAGAACTGATCAGTGGTGATTTTCCACATGTTTCCATTACAGTGTCAAAAACGGTATTTCTCTGCCTGGCACAAGCTGATCCTTGATCACAGGATCAAGCTGGGAAAAGCTGGGACCCTGTCTGACTGGAAATTTCAACTGAAAGTCCTGCGGGCCTGGAGAGACTACACGAGATCCCAGAAGTTGGTGCGGGAGACTCAAGCCATGGAAAATTACCTCAGGGAAGAAAACAGGTACCATTATTTGTACTATGAAAATCCTTCTGGTGTATTACAGGACATTTTTCTTCCTGAAGAATCCCAAAAATAATCAAAAAGTTATGTTCACTAGAATCATCTCATCCATTATAAAATGTAGTAACCACTGTTTTTCTATATTACATCCCAAACTAGAAAATTTTAACTCAGTCAGTTAAGCATCCGACTCTTGAGCTCAGCCCAGGTCTTGATCTCAGGGTCATGAGTTCACACTGGGCGTGAAGTCCACTTAACAGAAAAGATAAAGAAAAAAAAATTTTAGCTGAAAAGTATAAGCAAAAATTTCATTAAAATATACTGATGTACATGCTTTCCTTTTTTGAAGGAAACAAGTACTAGGTTTTTCCCTTGCCCTCTGACGTCATAGCATTGCACCTTGGACCATTTTACTAACTGAGAAGACAGAGTTTGGTTTATATGCCAGTAATTCTCACTGATGGAAATACCTGTCTGCACACTGAATGTTAGGAACACAGGGAGCATCCATCTGCCAAATACATTTTCTTCTATTCATTTCCAAGTTCAGCTCTGCATCCTTGAACCAAAATCATGGGTATAGAAGGAACCATTTGTTTATTTGGAGGTGGGGACAGTTTATGTGCTTATGTGTAATCACTTCTCTTACCAGCAACTCTGTTATTCAGGGTGAAAACCTGAATGAGTGTTGTGTGAAATCATTGTTATATAGAAGGAAGTGGTGCCCCCTGGAGTTGTGCAGCCATGTGACAGCATCAGACCCTGGGGTGGATACACAGGAGCCTAAAGCCCGGCCCCACAGTTTTATGGGGAACACAAGATCTATAAACAGGACAGAGGCTGAGCTCCCTCATAAATTGCATAAGGCATCCCCTGTGCCTCTGAGAACTTAGCAGAAGGAAGTGTTGCACTGACGAGGAGGCTCCTACAGAGTGCCAGGAAGGTCTTGATCGGGAAGGTGGGCCTTGAGCCGGACTCTGTTCCATAAGTATGAAGTTCCTAGGTGGGGACGGGGAGATGAGGTAATGGCACTTGGTGCAGCCATTCAGGTTGGCCAGACTTTATCAAGCATGTGGTTTTCAAGTTCATCAATTTGTGAAAGGCATTGAATGCCAAGACAAGGAGTTTAGGAATTCTTTGGTAAATAAAGGTGAAGTCTTGATAGTTTTTAAGCAGAAGGATGACCTAGTCAATTTCCTTTCTTCACAGTATGCTAGAGGGAATCTTTAGTGGAAAATAATAAAAAAGTCAGCTTAGAAAACTTTCTCATAATTCATTTCTAAGTTCTTAAGACCTAGCGATTCATATAAGGAATTGGGATGATAGCTTACTGAAAAAGGAATGGCTAGCAGGATATGCTGAATAAAGGAGAGAAACTGGAGGTGCCGTAAAAGGGAAGTGACATGAGTGATGGCATGAAGGGAGTGGAAACTGAGTGTTGAGGTTAAACGTGGCCTGTGAAATTTACATACCAGAAAATTTATATAAGAAAAATCTGAAGAACTTGAGGTTTCATTGAAATTAAGCTGTTTAAATATAAAATCACTAAATGGGGATTTCATAATAGCATTATATTCCAATTTTTTTAAAGATCTTAGAACTTTTTGTCTCATATCTGTGAATTATTTTCAGGTGTCTATTTTTAAATGTTCAGAATAGGTATTACATTTTTTTTTTAAAGTTCCAGAGTTAGAAAATACTTAACTTAGAATATTTTTTTTACTACAGAACTTTATTGCAAAAAAAATTTAGAGCAGAAAGCCACCTCAAGGATCATCTGATCCTGCCTGTCATTTTACATAGGTTAAAAGTAAGGCCTGGAGAGAGTAAATGACTCTCTCAAGGTCCAAAGGGTAACAGTAGCTAGTCCCGGACTAGAGTCTGGTCTCTTTGCTTCTGATTCAGATGCTCTTTCCAATGCCACACTTCTTCAGTATTAAATATTAAATAGCATCTAGGTGGTGATTCCCTAAGACAGCAGTATTTTTCAGTTATGTGGCAATTTACTTTAGATGGCTGCAGACAAGTATGCTGGTGTAATTTTGATTGGGATTGCATTGAATGTGTAGATAGCTTTGGGTAGTAATGACATTTTAACTATATTTATTCTTCCAATCCATGAGCATGGAATGTCTTTCCATTTCTTTGTGTCTTCTTCAATTTCCTTCATAAGTTTTCTATAGTTTTCATCATACAGATCTCTTATATCCTTGGTTAGGTTTATTCCTAGGTACTTTATGGGTTTTTTGTGCAATTGTGAATGGGATCGGTTTCTTGATTTCTCTTTCTGTTGCTTCATTGTTGATGTATAAAAATGCAGCTGGTTTCTGTACGTTGATTTTGTACCCTGCAACATTGCTGAATTCTTAGATCAGTTCTAGTAGGCTTCTGGTGGGGTCTGTCAGGTTTTCTATGTAGAGTATCATGTCATCTGCGAAAAGTGAAAGTATGACTTCTTTGCCAATTTTGATGCCTTTTATTTCCTTTTGTTGTCTGATGGCTGATGCTAGGACTTCCAGCACTATATTAAATAGCAGTGGTGAGAGTGGACATCCCTGTCATATTCCTGATCTCAGGGGGAAACCTCTCAGTTTTTCCCCGTTGAGGATGATGTTAGCTGAGGGTTTCTCATAGATGGCTTTGATGATGTTTAAGTAAGTTCCTTCTATCCCGACTTTCTCAAGTGTCTTTATTAAGAAGGGATGTTGTATTTTGTCAAATGCTTTTCCTGCATCTATTGACAGGATCATATGGTTTTTATCTTTTGTTGATGTGATGTATCACATTGATTGATTTGCGAACAAAAAATAAAGCAGTAATTACCAAATGATAAGACATGCTGGAAACATAGGAGTAGAACCATCCTTTGTGCTGCTTTCCTACAAACCCGTGGCTCTCTGTATGTTTTCCTTTGTTCTAGAAAGAAGGATGGGATATTAAAGGTGGGGAAAAGCTCTAAGTTAGCTACTGCAAGCAGAAACCAAGAAATATTAGTGGGACTGAGGGTGTCTGGAGAGGCTGGTTCTTTTCTGTGTTCATCAGAGTTTCTCCCAGTATCTCAGTTGATACCAAATACATATTTGTTGAATAATAAGTGAGTCAATAAGGAGTTTATTTGCTTCCCCTTTTGCAATTTAACTTGATAGTGTTTTCAAGCACTTTTTTCCTAAATAATGAGCTCTAGGAATATAATGGGTTACTAACTGTAGAAACTAACTTTTACCAGCTTGGCAAGGCACAGGTGGTTCTGTAGCCCATTCACCTGGACGTGGAAATCATTTGCTGTGCCCATTACTCAGATGTCAGCTGTGTCTTCAGCCTCCAGCTCCTGCATCCGCACTTGTTTCTGACACCTGGGGTTTACCTTCCCCGGCCAGCTCCCCCATGCAGGGCCGAGCTTTCCCAGCTCCCTTCCCTCCATCCTTCCGTCTTCTCCTTCGTCCTTTCTTTAATTTTCTTTTGTTCCCTCTCTCTTCTATTTTTGTCTCTCTCTTTTCTTTTAAAAGCAGTTATGGTAATGGTGCTATAAAATTCCAATACAACATTATAATATAATCTCAACATTAACAAATATTCCCAAACCTGAGAATTCACTGGCTTAGGTTATAAAACAAAACCCTGGTGCACATGCTTAGGTGTAGACCCTTTGATGTGGTGATGTTGGAATCTGAACCGTATTTTTACTTTGCTCAGCATGTTCACGTGCGAAAGCTGGCTTCAGTTCTTCCATTGCTCCTCTCTCCCTTCCTCTCTTAAATTTATGACCAGACCTAGACAAAATTAGGAAGAAGCAAAGTTTGTTTTCAACATCCTCCACCAGCCCTTCTTCAGCCCCTGATTTCTCATTCTTTCCTCAGAAGCACCTCTGTCTTCCCCTCATTAGCCTCCACATTACCTGCTATCCTGCTCTGTCTTGTACCAGAACTCTGGGCCTTGCCCCACATATGCTTTTCTCTCTTCCCTTTGTCCCTCAAGCCCATCATCCTTTTTCACTGTAATCCTCAATTGATGTTATTCCTCTCAGGAAACTGCATATACTTTAGCAGGCGTGGTCTGGAAACAGTGCCCAAAATGTAAGTGTGGGGGATTTGAGGGTACTGTGGCAGGCCAGTGGGAAAACTGGCCCTTTGACATCCCTCAGACCATGGCATTCATTTGTTCACTCATTCTTTCATTCTGTTTGATAGAATTTATTCTTTCAGCCAGCCAGCGTTATTGACATTTACTGGGTACTAGGCTCTCTCCTAAGTACAGGGAGAGGGGATTGAAAAAAGTGTTAAACACTTGCCTTCTAGGAGTTTTCCATTTAAGTGAAGTTAAACATGGTACCCAACTACTAAAAATAATTGCAACAGAAGGCACCATAAGATAAATACTCAAGAGTGACATGGACTTGGCTATTGTGCATTATAATCCCCTGAGGAGCTTTTTAAAAATAGGAATTCATGGGCCCCATCTTCTGAGAGAGACAGAATGTGGCTAAGTAGAAGTGGGCGTTTTTCAGTTTGGGGGAAAAACTGGTAAACCAGCACATAGGCAGCTTGTGGGGAAGCAGGCTGGGGTGAGCCCACGTGCTAGCCTAGAAGAAGGGAGGCTGAGTTGAAAATAGACGGTCAGATAGCCCCATTTTCCCACTCCTCATCTGAGCATTCTTTTGGGCAGTCACTTACAGAGCCCCTCTGTGAATCATGTTCGACGCCCTTCCCTCCATGCTCAGCTGGGTATGAAGGCAAGAGGCCAGAAACTGCATCGCTTCTGAAGCTGGTCAGGCTCCTCATCTGTCTGTCAGAGAGGCAGGGACTTGTACTGCCTGGCTCACTTCAAAACTCTTTAAGACAGAATTGTGTTAGCTCCTGCTTTCTCCCTGGGGGCTCCCTGGTGCATTATTAAATGCACCAGCTCATTCATTCCTGCTCCTGCTCATCGCAGTGCAGCTGCTCGCACCACTGCTGTTTTCATGTGTCAGATTTCAGCACTCAGATCACTAGTGTGTGCTTATT